GTAGTTCATCTAGTATTCCATGTTTTTATGCTCTGGAAGTATCACGGTGATCCGTCTCATGTGTTGGATTTCAGCTCAGTTCAGTTGGACAAGGATTTGTCTTATGTTGAGGAGTCGATGGCCATTTTGGACAGGCAGGTCCGAAAGTTGAGGTCGAAGAATATTACTTCAGTGGAGGGGCCAACCAGTCGAGGAGGCGACTTGGGAGACCGATCATGATATGCGTAGCCGTTATCCTCATCTTTTTACCACTTCAGGTATGTCTCTATACTCGTTCGAGGACGTATGTTTGTTTTAAGAGGGGGAAGATGTAACAAACCAACCGATCGTTTTGAGTAATTTAGCCCCGATCCCCTATTTATTTCCTCCTCTATGTTGTATTATGGATACGTGACTACCAGAGGTGTTTGATTTTGATTTCGGGTGAGTTTCGGAGTGAAATGGGACATATAGTCCCTAAGTTAGAGCTTTAAGTTGAAAGAGTTGACCATAGTTTGACTTTTGTGTAGAGGACTCCGTAATGGAGTTTTGATGGTTCCAATAGCTCAGTATGGTGACTTTAGACTTAGGAGCGTGTCCGGATGTTGATTTGAAGGTTCGTAGATCATTTTGGCGTGAAGTGGCAAAAGTTAGAAACTTGAAGGTTTGAAAGGTTTGGGAGTTTGACCTTCTTGATATCGGGGTCGGATTTCGATTCCGGAAGTTTTAATAGGTTTGTCATGTCATTTATGACTTGTGTGCAAAATTTGAAGTCAATCGGAGTTGTTTTGGTATAAATCGGCATTGGTTTCAGAATTCAGAAGTTCATAGTTTTAATTGGGGTTTCAGCTTGATTTGGGGTTGCGATTCGTAGAATCGATGTTGTTTTATGTGGTTTTTAGCCTCGAGTAGTTTGGTTATGTGTTTTGGAACTTGTTGGTATATTCGGACAGGCACCAGGGGCCCCGGGTGTGATTTAGAGATCAATTTTGGACTTAATCTCATTGCTGAAGTTTTCAGCCACCTGGTGTCATTGTACCTGCGAAGGGATTGGCTGCAGGTGTGGACTTGCAAAAGCGAGCAATTGATCATAGAATCAAAGATGTATTTTCCCAGCTGGGATCGCAGGTGCGAGAGAAGCACCGCAAAAGCAGAAGGGGCTAGCCAGCCCTGGCATCGCAGAAGCGGAGATCTTCCGTAGGCGCGCGTTCGTAGGTGCACGATTCTTGTCTGCAAATGAAAAAACCCTGACCTTAGTGGGAACTGCATCTGCGATGGTTTTTCCACATGTGCGGTATTGCAAGTGCGACTAAAAGGCCACAAATGCGGAATCCCTGGGCAGAAAGGCCTAAGTTGGGGGTTCGATTTTCATAATCTCTTTTTGGACTTAGAGAGCTTGGTATGAGGCGATTTTTCTGGAGATTTTCAAGGAAAACATTGGGGTAAGAATTCCTAACTCGATTTTGGTTAAATTACACGAATATATTATTATTTATATCATTTAATTTGTGTTTTGAGTTGGAAATTTTGGGAAATATTTGTGAAACTTCTTAGGCGGAAATTTGAGGATTTGAAAGGCGATTTGAGGTCGAATTTGAGTAACTATTGTATGGTTGGACTCATTATCAAATAAGTGTTAGGATTTATTAATTTTTGTCGGGTTCCGAGGCACGGTCCTAGTTTGACTTTTTGAGTTGACTTTTTATTTCTTTGCAAAGATCGTAAATTTGTTGTTCGAAATAGTTTTCTATAGTTTATATTTATAGTATGAAGTTGTTTTGGCTAGATTCAAGCCATTCCGAGTTGGATTATCGAGGAAAAGGCCTACTAGTGGATTGAGTAGCATGTTTTGAGGTAAGTATCTTGCGTAACTTTGTGTGGGGGAATTACCCCTTAGGATTGGTGTGGTTTTGTGATAATTGTGATGTGTGGAAGCTGTGTACGCAAGGTGACGAGTGTGTACATAGGCTAAATATGAAAATTTACCGGTTTTAGCTATTTAGATTCCCTTCATGTCTTAATTGAGTTCTCTTGTCATGTTACATTCATCATCATTAGCCTATTTTCACATGTTCTACTTGTCTTATCTCTTGCTTGTTAATTGCTCTACATGTTTAGTTGAGGTTCTTGTTTCCTTTATTCCATATTCATTATTTAACCGTTGTATTCTTTACTTGAAGTTGTTATTCTTGGAATATCTTGTTGTTGAAACTGGTATTGAGTCATAATGGCCGTGATTTATATTGAGGCAAAGTGTTAAGTTGTGAAATACTATTCTATCGAGTTATTCACTTTCGGTTGTTATTGTTGAGACTCTTGTGTACATTGTGGTTGGCCTATGGGCTCTTTATTGTGAAAACTCTATTATTGTTGATTTATTTGGCAAGTTGTGATATGGGCACTTGAGGTGCGATTTGTGATATATTGTAATATTGATACGCATGTGGTGATATAAAATTTTGGGGTTGAAACATATGCGGTGAGATAAGGTGGGCTTGATACGCATGGCTAGTAGGGGAACTACTAGAAGTCATGCAGTATGATAAGGTGGGCTAAAGCGCAGGATGCTATTTCGGAAAATAATTTTCAAAACTAAATGCAAGACTCCCGCGGTGATATAAGGAAAGGTTCTGAATTATTTTTGTGATATGAAACTACGAGGCGGTACCTCGGTAGTGACTCTTGTTGGTATTTTTCTATTGCTGCACTTGCCTTTGGTTGTTTTGTTTCCTTAGCATATCATTCCTTATTTTTCTCCATGTTGCACTATTTGCTTTAGTTCTGCATAGCTAACCTTGATATGCTATTTGTTGTTTCAATTTCATTACTATCATTACTACACGGCCCTACACTTGTATATTTTTTCTTATATATTTCAGTAGGGCCTTGACCTGACCTCGTCACTACTCTACCTAGGTTAGGCTTGATACTTACTGGGTACCATATGGTGTACTCATGCTACGTTTCTGTACATCTTTTTGTTCAGATCCAGGTACCTCTTATCAACCCAGGTATTAGCTGGAGCTCAGCTGCGGAGACTTCAAGGTATACATGTTGCCGTCCGCAGGCCTCAGAGTCCCCCTCTACCTAGATTATTTTATTTCCTTATCCTTTATTAAATACTGATGTATAGAGATATTCAGTACCACTTCATAGAGCTTGTAACTTGTATTTCGCGGGGTTTTTGGCAATTATATATATGTTGAGTTGTGGAGATTTTCTTATATTATTTTTTGAGTTTTGAGACTTTAATTATTATTTTAGTTATTCTGCATGAATGTTAGGCTTACCTAGTCTTAGAGACTAGGTGCCATCACAACATCCTACGGAAAAAACTGGAGTCGTGAGAAATAGCTAAGCAGGTTTTGAGAAATACTTGGTGCTTTTTAGTTGAGTCTTGAGGCTGAGTTGTTACGATAGGGTTCTTAGTATGCTTTAAATATTCTTGGCATGATGAGTTAGGAGAGTTGTTTAAAAAAAGTCGTCTTTATCTGAAGTATAGTGAGATTGCTCGAGGATGAGCAATAGTTTAAGTGTGGGGTGTTGATGATAGGCTAGGAATATGTGTTTTAGTTATATTTTGTACTCTAAATACTAAACTTTATTCGTGTTTGAGCTTAAATGACGAAGATTTGTACTTATCACGTGTATTATTCTTTGTAGAGGGCGGTTTCGCTTTAGGAAGCGATTGTGTAGCTAAATCAATGAATTAGAGCTTTGAAATCTGAGTAGAAGCCTAAGAAACTAAAACGGAATCACGTTCGGGGGTCGAGAACTAATTCTGGATTTTAAAAAGTGACAAAATGCGGAACTCTAAGAAATTTGCACTACCGTGCCACATGGGGTGCGACATGGTAGTGTAGAGGCAGACTTTTGAAAAAAATCAACTCTCTGGAAAAGTGCACTAGCACAACGCATGGCATGACACACCTGTATAATATTTCGCACAACTTTTCCTAATTCGGCTTGAGAGGATAGTTTTGTTTTGGCCCATTACTACAAGATATAAAATACACCAAAAATACGATTTTGAGAGGACGTTTGACTTAGGGAACTTTTGGAGAGCATTGGACGCTTCAAGACACAAGATTTCATCATCTTTTCACCAATTCAATACTAGAGTTTGGATTGTAATGTTGAATTGATTTTTTTACTTCTTTAATTCTATTTGTGATGACTTCCTCCATGATTATGGAGTAGTTTACCTTAAGGTTTGATATGATTTGATGATTTAATTTTTATCTATGGATTTGATTACTTGAATTTATTGGAGGAGCTTTAAATCTAGTTGTAATTTTATTCATTATCGTGTTTTATCTGAATAGGAGCACAATATGGAATATTGTTGCAACGCATGCCTTAATTTATTTTGGTACTTATTTAAAGTAATCGAAAGAGATTTGTGATCTACCATTTTCATTAAGATTGAGAAATATTTGCGAGAAGTTTCTTTTATATCATTCCTACCAATAGATTCTTGCAAGTTTCATTGCACTTCATATTAGCTTATTTGAACGATTTAGGTTTAATCGAGAGAGAAACCTGAATCAAAACAATAGGAAAATAACCTGTTGAATTAGTGAGAATCAATAGAATATTAAGAGTGAAATTTAACAGTATCAATTCTAGGATAATAATTTTGCACCTATCATGTCATGATCCTTATTCTCACACCGATAACAAACCAACTCTGCTAATCTCTAGTTCTTCGTGATCAATTGTCAATTACTTTTGTTTTTGTAGTTAATTTTAGTTCATAATCATTTTCAATAAAAGTGTTAATCATCTTGGATAACATTTAACTAAAAATCACTTGAACATTATTTAGTTCAATTCCTGTAGAGACGATACTTTCTATACTATCTTTGACGTAGCACGAGCTTATTTTTTTATAGTGTGTTTTATGCTCCTCAAGTTGGTGTCTACCATGAGGAACATAAAGGAAGCAAGGTTTCCAAAACCAATTCGGTCGGACCCCAGTCAGAGAGATCCTAGTTTATGGTGTGAATTCCATGGTTTAAAGCCCCTGGATCCTACGTGGCTGCATTTGTTCCAGAATCCAAGGTCTAAAAATTATTGGATACTCATTAAATTATCAATTTGAAACATCCATGTATTATACTCTTGACGATGAATGTGCATTTTGATATGCCTCCTGACTTTTTAACTAATCCATAGTATGCTTGTTGTTAGAGAACTTGACACAAACTAATGCCGAGCACATTCAGTCAAGTCTCATTGAAGTGCACTCCATCCTAAAAGTTTCTCTATAAATTCAAAAGCTTTTTCCAGTAGTTGTTCAAGCTGCTCCTTAATGTAATAAAAAATACACTTGAGGCTTTGGGAATATATGGCAGGCTTTCATAACGTATTCTATACGGGAGGTGCATAGTAATCCAGATATGCACAAGCTGTCTTGCTGGTTTTAAAGAGTTGTATTTCTGCACAGCACAGGACAATGTGTTTGTTGTAGTGAAAGCTGAGGGGAAGCTACTCGAGAGTAGTCAACAAAGTGAATCTGAAAAGTTGCCTGAATATTTTGGAATTCTTTTCGGCACAGTAATATCCAAAAACCAAATAGGCGTAATAGAAGAGTAAAATACTTCCTTAGTTTCGTGCAACCAGATTACAACACAACATAAAATTCTTCAAGTATCGTGTGCTTAAGGCTGCCAGTTCTCAAGGTTCCCATTTAACCTTTTGGAAAATTAATTTATGCAGGGAATGCCAGCCAGTGTTCAGATATATGCATGTGGAAAGGACTTACAAAGTAAAGCTGTTGCTCGACGCAGCTTCTTCCGCTGCTCAACTGTGCAACTGAGCTGGAACTCTGGTTCTACAGGTCTTCTAGTGGTGGTCCAATCAGATGTTGATAAAACAAACCAAAGCTACTACGGAGAATCAAAGTTGAACTACTTGACTATTGATGGGACCCATGAAGGGCTTGTTCCTCTCCGTATGTTGTTTTCATCTTCTTAATCTTCAGCCAAAGTTGTGTTGAATGAGTGAATTTGCGACTTACTGATCCTTGGGCATGTTGCAGGTAAAGACGGCCCTATTCATGATGTTCAATGGTCCTATTCGGGTAAAGAATTTGCAGTTGTTTATGGTTGTATCCTTTACCAACACGCCAAAACCCAACCTCAAGGCGTCTGAAATTGTTATAAAAAATAAAAAGAAAGCCTTAGAGAAAAGGGAAAAAAAGAAGAGTGAAAAGAGTCTATGGAAATGTTACACACTTGTTGTGAAAAACCATACAAGTTGAAGACAAGAATATTTGGAAGAAATGTTACAAAGTTTGAAGTTGGATGCAACTTTTTTCTAGACTCCGTAGAAGTTTGAATATATGCACACTTATAACTAGTTGCTAAAGCTTAGAGCTTGGTTCTTCCAGTATTCTCTCATTCGTGGTTCTGGGTGTTACTGTTTTTCTTTAATTATTTCGTTTAAAATCTTCTCTCTCGCTTAAGAGGAGTAATACACAATAAAAAATGTGAGACAAGTGTTAAATGGTGGAGGACATCTGGCACACATATTCTTTTTGCTCTTCAACTTACAGAGGAGGTCCAAGGTGAAGTGCGTTAGATCATTGCTTTTATATACTCACTGAACATGCGCTCTGTTCATTAATAGGGTCTAAATGTAGTCCTAATAAAGAAGCTTTTATTTCCTCCCTCGAGTGGATTTGTTCAAAGATTAATTTGCAACTAGTATCCGCCTTCAAAGCAATGCCACAGCAATCGAGGAGTTAGAGTAACAACCTTGGGAACCAAGGCTCAAATATAGGAGAAATGACACTAGGTAAATTTATTCCATGCCTAAGCATTAGCTGGTAGAGTTACTTGATACCTATGCTTGTCGTAAGTAGTAGGTTCTCGGTGGATTGGTTGAAGGTGCAAAATAGCCTCGACACCTCTGTTATTAAAAATATATGCAGCTAGAATTCCTATATTTTTTCTTGAATCCATTGTTTCATATATTTTCTGGATGCTGCTGTTATTCCTTAAATCACTTAGTTATGCCTGCTATGGCCACGGTGTTCGACAAGAAGTGCAATCCTCTGCTTGAGCTTGGAACAGGCCCATACAACACTATCAAATGGAATCCGCTGGGGAACTGTATCCTTTTCTTCGAAAAGACATTCTTTTTCTAATTTGTCATCATTGTTTCTAGTTGGTCATTGGAAAAAAGGGCTAGTTCAGCCTGCTAGTTTATTTCCATCTGCAGTTACTGCTTTTGCTTGCCTTAATCCTTGTTCTACAGTTATATGCTTGGCAGGCTTTGGTAACTTACCAGGAGACATGGTATGTATATCTAGATGATTACTATATTCAGAAGTGGGAAATGTCCACAACTCTTATCTGTTTCAAATATCATGGATTGCTACTACCTATAAAAAAAAGAAGACTTTTGACACATAGGCTAAACATAATCAAAGTACCAACATTTCCCTTATTACCAACAATTAAACGAGAGATGGAAAGAGTTCGACATATCCCTTGATGTGTAGTTTTTCTAATTTAAAATCAGCTTTGATATCAAGTAGCATCCTAATTCATGTGATTAAGAGTAAAATAGGGATGTTAAAGGAGTCAATCTTTTCGAGATAGAACAAAAAGAAAAGAATCTCATATAAAATAAGATCAAGGAAGTAGAATACTAGATTTAAGTGCTAAATAGAACACAAAATGATCAGCTTCATTGGAGGCATGCCAAACTTTTAACTATTCTAAGCTTGCTGCTTAGCAAATCATGCTCGAGGAGATTCTTTAGAACATATAGCGATCAACATAATTGGTGTATATGACCATTTGATTCTCCCTGTGCAAAACAAAACCCAATGGAATTATCAGATAGTTAGTATAGTTAGTGTTAGATAGTTAAGTGCAAACAATAATATTTACACTCTCCGTCCCATTTTATGTGATGTTGTTTGATTGCTTGTGGAGCGTAAGAAAGAAAGAAAGACTTGAACTTGTGGTCTGAAACAGGTCGTATATTCGTGTGGCTATAAATCATCTCATCAAGGGTAAAATGGGAAGTTTAAAGTTAAATTGTTTCTAAATATGTATATTCTTTTTGGGAAAGACTAAAAAGGAAAGTGTATCACATAAATTGGGACAGAGGGAGTGATATAATATACTCATCTAAAATATATACTTATTAATGTAGTATCATCTACTCTTAAAAAAATGTTGTATCAGGTGGGTAAAACAACCATGTACATAAAGTGTCCCTATAAAGGGATTAATGCGTAAGTCGTTATTCTTCGCTCATTCTCTCGGTCTTTTATCCTTGTTTCTCTTATATTTCATATGACATCTAAGCTTTTATTAGAAATTACTATGCATTTACCAGTAATATTCGAGATAAGATAATGTCATTCACTGCATATTATTCCTAAAACCGTCTTGTTTATTTGAGTCTTCTTTGCTTCTTGTGAGTGTTATGCATCAACCAACATACCACGAAACCAAGAATATTTCAGCAAACAAAATTTGAGAAGCCATGTCTTAAGTGGAGGTAATGCACTGACTAGGTTGCAGATTTTTATTAGGAGATCCACTCCATCTGCTCAGCGCGTGAACTCTATTCAGACAATTCAGTGAATTTCTTGCTTTCATGGCAGTTGATTTCCATTCCCAGCCTAACTAATTTCGATCACCTGAACCCTAATTCAGCATGGCTCAAAAAGTTCCTACTTCCTCTTTTTTTCCTGTAAGGTTAATTAATATTCCGACCCACTGGGGTCGACTACCTGCGAATCATCCCATCCATCTTTCATATTTTTCCAGTGGTTTTGCCTAGCTTATGACGGTAGTGTCTTTTGCTGACAAAGATCTTACTGTACACCCACTTTCAATAGGATTATCCTGCACCATAAGCCTCAATTATAACCTGCGACAATCTCCAGTGATTTTCAATTATTCTCTAGTTTTTTTGGGTGAATTTTCTCGATGAATAGAATATCCCGTGATTTTTATGACGAACAGATGTTCAAAGATCTCATTCTGACAGCTTTTTCGGGTAAATTTTACAGCAAGCTCAATTCCTTCCCCTGGTCTGTTCATCAATTTCCAACCATTTCCTCAGACATTTTGGCCTCCTTCAATTATGTCATAGGGATTGGATAATTTGGTCACAAGAAAATAAGAGATAGTGATTTATGTAGCACCCAAGGGTGTGGCCTTAAGTGGGTGCAACCTTAGAGATCAGGGTTCAAATTCTAGCCGAGACAAGAAGCATTAGGTAATTTCTTCCCATCTACCTAAGCTTGATAGACAGAGTTGGCCGGTACCTATGCTAGTGTACAAATTTTTCAATTTGTAGCTTGCAATGATAAGACAATTTAATGCATCACAGTTGGTGCATTTTGCCCCATTTTATACCATATCAGAATATCTTGATAGCTGTCTGGACCACTTGACTTCTTTCAATCTATTGATTTTATAATGTCTTAAATCTTTAATCTAGTGGTCAACTTTTCAGATGCTGATGTTAATCCACCTGTAGGTTTGTTATAGCAATTATTATCTATCTTCCTTACTAAAAATGGACCTGTTGAATTATGGCCCTAATGCAACTGCATGAACTTATAATTATGTTGAGAAGCCTTCGGTGATTCTAAAGAATGAGAAGCTAGTGAGCATGCCTAATGCTGCCTTTGTGGGAAGAGTGAGGCAATGGGTTCATTGGCTAAAAGACCGAATTTTGTTTTACCATCAAAAAATTGTTGCCTTTGTTTGGAATGAGAGAAAGTGGAGTGCCAGGTTTATGCAAGCAGATATATTTAGCAATTTTGTTATTAAATACATGATAGCTAATGCTCATTCTTTCATGTTTTTGAAGGGTTAAAATTTTTCACCACAATGGATCATTGTACTTCAAGAAGATGTTTGACAGATTGTATAAGGTTAATAGCCTTGCTAATTTTTTTTCTGCGAACCAACTTGCTCTGCCTGCTTACTTCTTTGTTCACTCCTCTGACAGGTTGATTGGAAGCCAGAGTTAGTAGAAAAATTTGGTGACAATGAAGACCTTGTTAAGGCAGTTGGCTCGGTGAAAATAGATGAAGCTAAAGCGCCAGGTTCCTC